GCTTCAGAGTATATTCCTAAATGGATCCAGAAACAAATGGAATCTTCAGAACCTATTAACGGTGAGAACAGGAGACCTAGCTCTTCTATTGAGAAACATATTATAGTATAACAGGACATAAAATTGACGTTAACGCATCTTTTAAACCTATCTATCTATAAAACATGTTTGGGGCGTATCCTAAAGTTTGTGGAAACCCTAGCTAGCAAGCAGTTAGAAAGTTTAAACCACATTTATCAGTTCAAAAACAATTCGTGATCACATTAAACCACCTTCCTTGGTAAATTTTATTTTAATTATCCAACCAGGGTAGATGTACCATGTACCTCTGCTATTTGGTTTAGTAGTCTTCATTGCTATTTTGACCTTCAATATGTCAATCGTATAAATTCCTATGACAAGTCCGTGTGTGTTGCACGAGATTGTTTGAAACGTGTTGAGCAAATACATACAATACACGATTCAGAAAAATTGCGTCTTCTTATTGCTTTATCTTATCTAATCTCTATATAACATACATTTTAACAAGAAAATTCACTATGCTGTTTTTGTCAAAAGCATTTAACTCATTCGTCTATTTCATTTCAGAAATAACTGTTCAAAAAATACACATTCTAATTCCTAATTTTAATTTTTACTAATTTGACCCTTGACCGGATATTATTCTGGAACTTTCCTATCCATTTGATATAAATACACGAATGTACAGCCAAGATGATGACTTCGTCGAAAAGAAAATTTTCTTCGCTGCAATTGTCTTCTTAATAAATACACAGTTGTTAATACTCTACCACTCACTGTGTTTTTTTATATTAGAGAAACTTGTATAATACATAATTAATTTGGTTACATGGAGCTATATTAGATATCAGCTAATGGGGAAGCGAATTCTTGTCTCTATTAATTCTCTGTATGGCGCAATAGCTGCCTAGTATAATAGGCGAAATATCGTTCATTAAACCGATTTAGTGAACCTCATTTCTCAGTATTCATTTTATTTTTATTTTTTGTTTACAGCTTGATTCCACACTGTATTTTCGGTACAAGTATGGAATTTTCAGCTTGTGATATCGGTAGCCCAAATTTCCCAGGCCGACCATAGATATCAGTTGTGCGTCGGCGTGGGCTCGAACCCCGGACCATGTGCATGGTCGGTGAGAGTCCTAACCACTGTGCCACCAACGCACATCAGAATTCTGGAGCAATCCTGTAAAGGGAGTTTAGTCCCTAACCAGCTGTCTATTCAAATTCGGAATGTATCAGGGCTGAGGAGATATTGTAAAAGACTGAAGTATATAAGAAAGAAACCGATGGTGAGTAATCAAGTTTGTTGTAACATCAGTAGCTTGCCTATTATATAATTATTGTTCCCTTTTTTGTTCTGAGTGTAACATGGAGTTCCGCTCAAATAATGGCCTACCGCGCGGTGTCACTAGTCGGTTTTCATTTTCTTCTGAGTATTTATTGAGCAACGAATTATTGATTGCCTATTTCCCAGGGTGCCAGGCCAGAGTTTAGCTGGCCACTTGATCTTCAAAATGGTGCCAGCAAAGGCAATTATTATTTGAAAGTCTGCACTGCCCTGTTAGAATGACATTTTGTGACATGCAATGCAAAATTTCGGACTCATATCGAAGAACTTGCTGACATAACGCTGTTGAAGAAAATCTGAATCTTGTTGTTTATGCTGCGGAGTGCATAAGATTTCCAGATTGAATTCAAAGTGATGAAGGTTATCTAACTCATCCACCCACGGGTTTGACATCTTCATTCGTTCCATCTGTGGTGGAAACGATGCTTCCTAGCCAGATTAATGAAGTAAGTGACCTCATTCAAATTTCTCCTGTGATAGCTTGTTTATAGCATCCGACAAACATGACATCCTATCAAAATATGAAAGGAACTGGTAATCACACGACACTGTAATTGACAGTAACTCTTTTTATAATCTTATGATTCTTGTTTAAATGTCTTATTGTGGATCACAACAAAGTTGTCAATTGTTTAGCCATGTTTCCAGAAGTTTTCAAAACTCAGATTGAATAATGGTGACATCCAAACCGAAAGAAAAACCACTGACTTTGTGATATATCAGAAGTTACCACAAGAAATCTATGCAAAAATGTATTGAGACGAGTTCACCAGTGATTACCAGTGAATGGGGATACTGAATGAGAAGAATACTGGAACACAATTTGAAGAAATTTTGAAATCCATCAAGACAGTTAGGAAAACTGCTAGAAACATATACATATAAATATATGGATAAATTATTTTAGTGTTCCCCCAATTTTTGACTTTGATCTTAAAAGTTTCATCATCAGGCTTGATATCGTCACCAGAACTAAGTTCATTTTCAGCTGGCTTGAATTTTACAGTATCCCTATCGTGTTTCTATGCATCTATAATTCAGGCATGGTTTTCGTTTTATCAGCCTTTAAACCGTATAACTTATGACATCATGTTTTTGTTCTAATCTTGTTCCTTTACTTTCCAAATGGCATATAAGGCTTCAACCAATAGTTTTGACGTTTCAACAACAGTGGTGTTTATTGTTATGAGATAGGGATGTCAGCCTCATAGTTAACCTCGCCTCTCTACCAGTCTTATTACCTGATTCGCAAGGTTTAAGAGTGCGTCAGCCGAGGTTTGAACCCAAAATAACATTGGTCGTGAAAGGTTGGCATTCTGCTGCTGTAACACCGACGCACTTTATTGCGTAATCCTTGTTTTTAGAAGAATTATATCGGTGTAGTGCAACGAGAGTTTAAGTTGAATAGAAACGATGAGTTACGCAAATATGCCATCCAGCAAATTTCGTAGGTCCAATAATTAAATAGGTCAGCCATCATATCTATAGAAATCTGTTTCGAGAGCAGTCATTGATGATTTGTACTCCAGATACCATAGAAGACGAACTGGACAATCTCAAGAGAATCCTCGTCAAGAATTGTTATCCAGAATGATTTATCGCAAAATCTATGAACCCTAGAACACAAAAGCTGCCCACGCTTAGCGCCTACAAAAAAACTCTACAGGAACCTTCAATTCAATGGGAATTTATCCGTGGAAACACTGAAAAATCGACTGTTCCGTTCACTTAAGAAAATCTGAACTGTGATTTACCTTCGACACGAAACCTGTGATTTTATGAATGTGAAGGATAAGCTATCACTGCTGACCTCATCAGTGGGTATCTTTCAAATCACCTGCTCGTGTGGAGCCAGTTATGTCAGCCGTACGCAGAGTTCGCTTTCCAAACGTATCACCGAACATTTACCAGCATGGTTTTACAATGGAGAAAAACGATGCGCTAGCAGCTCTATCTTAGAACATCTACTGGATTACGGATATCAAGCTACACCGCTAAACAAACTTCAAATTCGTCTACAGTATACGAAGCAATCTTCCTAAAAGTGTACGAATCATACTTCTTCAAACTACAGAAGCAATGGCAATTTACTTGCTGAGCCCAGATCTCTGCATATAGAAGAAGTTCGTTCAATTACCACATTTCCAATGCACGTAATCTGTCATAATACTCGACTGGTAAATTCTATTTCCTTCTTTCTGTCTCTTCATTCGTTTTATTTTGACTTAACTATTATGATATTTCACATTTTCAACTTTCCTGTTGTCTATCTACACCCGATTCAATCTCTTCACTTCATCACCACTGTCACTGACTTGACCAACGCTCAATTTCTAGTCATTCATTTATGTTACGTCATCCAACTTAATTGTCCAATTTCAGTTCTAATTTAAATGGCATTATTCTCTATCCCACTTCTACTTAGTCGCTATCTGTATCAACCTCTGTTGTTATCCTGACCTAAGTTTTAGCATTTTAGTCAATTATATTATGGCATCTAACTTACTAACTAACTCAATATTACTTTAGTTGCTGTCTAATTGACCTTGTTTCTATATTAGATCATTCTTGTATTATCTAATCACTTATCTAAACTTGACAAACCTTATGTACACACACGCGCACAAATAATTATATATATATAAATGCGATTGTGCAGCTATGTGAATGAATTCGCCGGTGAAAAGAGTCTCTCCGTTGAACGTCTTCTCTTTTTCATTGTTGATTTGATTTAACATCAAGAAATCAGTTAGTATTTTTTTTCTCTCATCGAGATGAGCTTTTCTCCTGTAGATAGATATCTAAAGAGGTAATAAAGGATTGTTCCCTCAAGAAGTATCACAAACGTTTCCCTGGTTTATTCTGTAAAAGCGTAATCCCTACCAATCAAGAAAAAGACAAAATATCAGGCTGAAAAAAAGCCAGTGGTGTTCAGACCAAAACATGGCTGCATCAGTCAATGAAATCCACAACAGTTAGTTTAAGCCAGCCATGTAGGAAGGTGTAGACTTCCTGAATGGTTGCAGTCCTCGAGACAGTAAACACAAATGAAGGCTGGTGGAAATTGGTGATATGACTCAAAATTGTTCTCAATGATATCCGGAGCAGATGCATTCACTTCTTGTGATTTATAATATCCAATAAAATTTTATTATCTTCGATACTACTGTTCTTTTTGCCTCATGTCTCTGTTTACTGTCACTATTTTGCATTCCGTTTTAATTTCTCCTCTTGCTTGGTGGGCTGAGTGCAGTGTGGCTAGTTGAACTGTTGCACACCGGTGCAAAACCAGACAGACAAAGGGTTAGAAAACGTTTCAAGGGAATATCAGACTGTCAGTTAGAAGCGGTCAGCAACAAAGAACTCTGCAATTAGACCTATCACTCAAAAACAGTACAGGAGGAAATAGAGATGAATGAGACGCAGGTTGAAAAAGATGGTAAGGGATGAGTTGGTCTCCTGAGGTTGAAATGAATAAGGTCATATGAGGAAAAAATGAAATCTGATGAGGGATCATGGAGCCAGCTAACAATAATGACTGCAAAGAACAGAATAAAATGAAGATATTTAGGAACCATGGGATTAATAACACTAATTATATAATAATCTATGAAACAGGGTTACTTACTTTCTGCTTGATCAAGTTGCATTGCGTCTTCTTCATCATCCTCATCTTTACAACTGAAACGAACACGTCGATCAGAACAGATACAAGTGTTGGGTTTAATGCATTCACCGCGTTCTCCACAATTACCAGCACATACAGCTATAAATGAATTCAGGAAAGAGAAGTTAAAAAATAAATAAACGTCAATCAGCACAAAACATAAAAATCCAATGCTACACAATCCTGTATAATATGATATAATCTTTCTTGAAAGTTATCAGGCTAAAAGTGACCTACCAGAATCATGACGTCTCCGACTCATGTGCATTGCTGAAGTCTTACCTATTGAAATAGAAAGGCTACAACTTAGCATACTCGAGAACTTTGTTCAACCACTCCCTTATTCACGGACGAAGTATTCTAGTATCCATTCTTACTTTGAACCCATCTATTTTTCATTTTGAGATTATTCAATTTGGAATGGGGTGTGCAATTATAGGATTAGTAGGCAAATAGAATAGAAATAAAAAAAATTCATGTATGTATACGATTGGTGGATGGTGGCTAGCAGTGGAATCCAGGATGCGCATTTCGTCCTATTTGGGACTCGTCAACTGGATGTACCTGCATTTCCCAGTGAGTGATGATGTTCCCACTGAGGCTCGAACCCACTGAGAAATGCAGGTACATCCAGCTGACGAGTCCCAAATAGGACGAAATGCGCATCCTGGATTCCACTGCTAGCCATCATCCACCAATTGTATACTAACTAAATGGCCGGACATCGTCGAAGCATCTATACAAGAAGCCGACATGTCAACCTGAGACCGAGCACTTCGGTCCAATCAATCGACGGGCAAATCAAAAATTCAATTCAAAAATTCATGTAACTTTGTGTGAAATTTGAGTGACGTAGAACTCAACACTGCAGAACAGAACTGACTTAGAATGACAAGTGGGAAAAGCGAGACAACACTGGGGACAATTCAAAGTGAGAAAAACAATAGTAATAGTAACAATAGACGTAATAAGGGAAGAGTATACAAGTTGAGTAAACAAAACGAAAAATACGCTGAGCCGAAATATGAATTAGGATTATCATATTTTAGCATAGAGGAATTAAGATCATCAAACCTGGAGGGGTTAAACGAACTTTCTCTGTACACAGAGATCTGACTTTTCTGTTTCGACAGCCAAAGCTTCAGCGGAACAGAGGATTCGGCTAGGTAATTATTTGGGCAAATTACTTTTCGACTTGTAGATAATTATAAAGGTGGAGGCTGTAGAGATAGTTTGACCTATATCGACCAGGTGTTCAATGATTGTGCCTCTTACAGATGCACTTCCACCTCTTCGCAACTGTTTCCGATAGTGTTCCTGCAACCTCTTGGAAAATAGTCGAGTCGGACAACCGATATACTTGGCTCCACAGAAGCAAGTGAATTGATAAATGCAGTTAGAGTTGGTCAACTGTGGGACATTAATTGTTTTGTCACTTGACAATTAATTATTCAATCTGTATACCCTTCCCTTATTAAGTTTTGGATTCTTATTATTAATTTCACTTTGAATACTCTTCGTTATTATCTTGATTATCATATTTAAAAAAAAAAATTTAATTCAATGTGATTTTGCCGTTGTAATTTTGTCTCATTCTAATAATCACCTCGTTAAGTAGGATTTTATTCACCTACTAACCTTTTGAATCCCTCACATCATTTATACGCCCAATAAATCATTTTATAAAGGAACATAACCATTTTTTCTGTCATTTGATGTTAAACTACTATTATAATGATGACAGATGACAGTTTGACAAAAAGTCTGTTGAAATCTCTTTTATAAAAAGAAGAGAAGTTCAGTGAAGAGAATCTTTTCGCCGGCGAATTCATTCACATAGCTGTACCATCGCATTTATATATATATACATATATATACATGAGGTTTGTCAAGTTTAGATAATTAACCAGGTAATACAAGAATGATCTAATATAGAAACAAGGTTAATTAGACAGCAGTTAAAGTAGGTTTGAGTTAGTTAGTAAGTTAGATGAGGTAATATACATGACTGGAATGTTTCAACTTAGGTCAGGATAACAACCGAGGTAATCACAGTTAGAGACTAAGTAGAAGTGGGATAGAGAATAATGCCATTTAAATTAGAACTCTGCCCACAGAGGAAGTTCGTTCAATTCCCACATTTCCAATGGACGTAATCTATCATAATACTCGACTGGTAAATTCTATTTCCTTCTTTCTGTCTCTTCATTCGTTTTATTTTGACTTAACTATTATGATATTTCACATTTTTAACTTTCCTGTTCTCTATCTCCACCCGATTTAATCTCTTCACTTCATCACCACTGTCACTGACTTGACCAACGCTCAATTTCTAGTCATTTATGTTACGTCATCCAACTTAATTGTTCAATTTCAGTTCTAATTTAAATGGTATTATTCTCTATCCCACTTCTACTTAGTCGCTATCTGTATCAACCTCTGTTGTTACCCTGACCTACGTTGTAGCATTTTTGTTATGTACTCGTCGCTAAATTATTGTTATGGACTGGTCGAGAAACTAATAGTCCTGACGCAAGAAGGCGGAAATCAGAAGACCACTAGGTTTGCGCTGATACTTCTATCTCCAAACACAAGGAGAATGCAAAAGTGGTATCACACCAAAGTAAGTAAGTAAGTGTAAGTCAGTCAAATTGTGAATGCAAAATATATATGACAAGGGTGTGAACAATCATTAGCCAGTCTTAACATGAATGGCTAATTATAATGAAGCATCGATCCATATATACATAGCAAAATATAGCAGACATGTCAACAACCACCATATATGGATATATGTCACCAAGCAATGGACTGTCAACAAACACTCATATTATATATAATATAATATAAGGAGAGTATACATTGTTAAAGGAGACAAGTTCATACAAGTGAAATGGTCACAGACTAAGAGAGCAAACAGAAAGAGAGACCAACATACACACGATGCGTCGGTGGCACAGTGGTTAGGACTCTCGCCGACCATGCACATGGTCTGAGGTTCGATCCCCTGCCGACGCACACCTGATATCTATGGTCGGCCTGCAAAATTTGGGCTACCGATATCCATGCTGAAAATTCCATACTTGTACCAATAATACGGTGTGGAATCAAGCTGTAACCTAAAATAAAATAAAATAAAAATATATGTGGATACATATCAATTTTAGTCAATTATATTACGGCATCTAACCTACTAAGTAACTCAATATTACTTTAGTTGCTGTCTAATTGACCTTGTTTCTATATTCGATCATTCTTGTATTACCTAATTAATTATCTCAAGTTGACAAACCTTATGTACACACACGCGCACAAATAATTATATTTAAATGCGATTGTGCAGCTATATGTATGAATTCGCCGGTAAAGAGTCTCTCCGCTGAACGTCTTCTATTGTTTTATATGCCTCAATGAGGGGTTTATAAGCTACTTAAACCTTCTAACAAATCTGTTTTGTTTTTATTTTCTATATATCTTGATAGTGTTTTTCCATGCATGATTGAGCAATTAAATACGATGTTGCTAAGACATGGTTGGGGATAATTTTACAAGATTAATAAACTGACAGACTTCTAAACTGTTCTGTTAGTTACTTATTTTCTTGAGAACCGGAAGAACCTAAGTGATTCAACCGTAGAATGCTGACCAACTACACAGGTGAGCTCGATTTCCAGCTGGTATACTTATGAACCTTGATTAGCCCTAAAATAATATATTTTTAGGGAAATTTTATTTATTTTATTTTATTTGTCTCACATACAAAGGAGATACAGTGTCACAAAACATCGAAAGGTGAAATAAATAGAAGCTTTCCGTCAGCAAAACTCATAACAGTATACAGCACCACTCCTTCTTTAATCCACTCAAAACTGGATAAATACCCTGCTGATGTCACTTCCAACTGCATTTATGAATTCACGTGCACTTGCGGGAGCAAGTGCATTGGAAGGACAGAAAAGAGGGCTTCTATCCGGTTTTCTGAACATATTCCTAAAAACCTGTACCTGAAAGGAAGCAGATATTGTCAGAGTGCAATTACCAGACACATTGTTGACACCGGACATCTTGTAGAGATTTTTAAGTCCTTCAAAATATTAAATAGTCAAAGGACATCAAATTTACTACGATTTGTCGAAGCGATCGCGAGCAAACGACTTAAACCAGACTTACGTATACAGAAAGAGAGTGTGATTAACCTCTCATTGCCTTGGTAACAGAATTCTGATTTTGATTAGTCATCTGATTCACTGATCTCAACTCATTGAACAAATCTTAATCTCATAAACTGTAACCGCTTTTGTTTTTTTAGTTGCTATGTGAACAGTCTACAAGCTAACACTGTTCTGTTAATCAATTTTTCTGTTTTCTGTTTTACCCCATCCCACCACTTTTCTACTTTGAAAGCGTATAAATTGATAATGAAAACTTAAACTAAAAAAATGTAAAGCTTTCATTTTGGATGTGTCAATTTTATAGTATGTCTTCACTACCACCACTCAAACATTAAGGTATGTTATTATCATCTATAAAACCATTGTAATTTCAGGTAGTGGTCTGCAGTTGATGAGAACCTGTGAAATAGAATGACGATATCATTTTATACTGCAAATTTCGTCTTTCTTTCTTTATCAAAATTTATCAAGGGGACGAAATGTATGAATATTTTCAATTGCACATTATCTCACTGTTTGAGACTACTGTAGTATTTAGTATCTGAGCTTTTTATATTCCCCAACATAATGTATCTAACCATTGTTATCATTAAAATCATTTTCATCTTCCTTAAGCAAACATAACAAAGCAGTTCTTTAAGATGATTTGCATCGCCAAGCCTCTAAAGATATCATTAAGAGAAAGTACTGATTCAACTGACGGTTACCAGAGTTAATGGTGTTGTATGTGCAGAGATTCAGACAAGACGTATTGTACTTAATTTCTGTATATCTACACTGTGCCATTCTAAGGAAATCAATTTTTTCTTCTCATAACACGACACCGTAAGCAACTTCATGCCTTTCACGTATCTGAAAGTAGAGAAGCGAACTCAGGTAAATGTTTTTGGTGTTGGTCTGTTTTCTGAGCTGTTTAGTTGGCTTTTT